GAGAAACTGGAACATTACTCTGGGAGGCCAGGGTGGGAGGATGCTTAAGCTCAGGAGTTTGAGACCAGCCTGAGCAAAAGCGAGACCCCGATTCTACTAAAAGTAGAAAAGTTATCTAGGCATCATGGTGCGTGCCTGTAGTCCCAGCTACTTGGGAGGCTGAGGCAGTAGGATTGCTTGAGCACAGGAGTCTGAGGTTGCTGTGAGCTAGGCTGACGCCACGGCACTCACTCTAGCCCAGGCAACAGAGTGAGACTCTGTCTCAAAAAAAAAAAAGAATCTTTTTCAATTTCTTCTTATATCAGTCATGGCCATTTTCCTGAATCACCACAGTGCTCTCCGGCAGTCCTGCTACATACAGGGGTTCATAAAGGGGCTTATGACACATTGGAAAGACCTCTAGTGAGGAAGGGCCTGGAATCTCCAGGTTGGGAACTTCTGGTCTAGTACAGTAATAATAGCAGATATTTATATCGGTGTCGTTAAGTATCAGTAAGTATTGTTCTAAGTGCTTTATGTGTATTCATTCATTTAATCTTCACATAAACCCTATGAAGTATTACTACCCCCATTTTATAGCCGAGGAAACTGAGGTTCAGAGAGGGTAAGTAACTTTTATAAGGTAATACAGCCAGGAGACTAATGCCAGACTACAGAGCCACTCTTCTATGCCGTCTCATTCAATACTGAGTCCTGCAGAAGTCGAATGACATGCTCAAGGACACATGGTAAGTTGCACAGTCTTGGACCAAACCGAATGCCCAGTGTGTTCATCTCACTGCGGGATAGCACCCCCGACGGCCCAATCTCCCTCTTCCTGGGCAGCTCCACTGCATACGAAGCAAGTCCTCGTGAGTACCTTTAGTGACCTTGAACATCAAGACATTTTCAGTGCTGCCCAGTAGAATCCAAAATAAAACAACACTCAACTTTAAAATAAAATTTTACTCCTGTGAAATAATACAAAACCTTCCTGTACACTGAAATTAAAAGGGGTTCTTTAGATTTTTCCGACTTTATTGTAGGCCCATGCCTTGCTGGTGCCCTGAGCACTCGCTCAGTCTTCCCGTGGGGCCACCCAGCCCTGCTCACGGGTCCCAGCCTAGCAGCTCTCCGTCCAGTGGGTCTCTTCCGAACCCCCCGGGGGCTTCTCTAGACCTTATCCATTTTCTCCAAGCCCCAGTCCACCCCAGCAGAGGAACTTGGCTTGGCTTTCACTGAGGTAGTAGAGGCCAAACCCGCTCAAGGCTCCTAGTCCCTTATTCCTAACCTCAAAACAAGTACACTGGGACTAAAATGTATTGAGCACTTACCACCCGCCAGGCCAGGCAGTGTGTCAAACACGGGATAGGCACTTTGTATCATTTAAAGGTCACAACAAACTGGGAGCCAGTGTCTTATCCCCAAATTGGTTAAACAACTTGCCCGGGGGCACTGCATCAATTGAGGTTTTCAGCAAAGAAAAGCTTTTGACTGTTTGGCAGCTCAGAGAATGTCCAGGGCCAGGCTTAGAAAATGGGTAGGAAGCATGGAGGTAGGGTATGTAGAGCCAGAGGGAAAAGTCGCCCTACAGACCTAGTTCAGTGGGGACACAGCTGCCACCAAACCCCGTTGCTTGGGATCCTGAACTCTACCCCCATTTGCCCCAATTCCCTGTGGCCCCTGGACACTGGACATCACTAGGGCCCCTTTGCTGAGATAAATTCCCCTCTGTTCTTCCTTCTGGGAATCAGAAGTCAACATGGTGGATTAGCAACCAAGATGAACTTACTTCAGCCTCCACTCAGTCGTTCTAGAAAATCCCCTTCCTTTCAAAACAAGATCTCCCTCTGTTGAAGTCCGATGTTTCCATTTAAATCTTTGACTCTTCCCATGGAATTGTGGTATAAAAAAAAAAATCTTTGACTCTATCCTCTTCTTTCCTTGGATTTTTTCTATCCATCCACAAACCCCTCTCTCTCTTCTGTATTTTCAAAATCTCCAATTACACAATGTATTTCCCCTCAGCTTAGAAAAATGCTTATGTCTCCCACATCTTTACAAATATGTTTCCAGGACCTTCTCCTTGGTCTGGGCCCCTTCAGAGAGAGTCCTGGGTTTGAATCCTCATGCCCTTCAGTCGATTCACCTCGCTGAGCTGCGGTTTCCTCCTTTGTCACACCTGTCTCCTTGCGGGTGTTAATCCCAGAAGGTGCTCAATACACAGTTGATGATATTTTTATTAACCCCACTTCCATCATGGCTGGGGTGGGAATGGGCAGTGACTACAAATGGGTATGAGGGATGTTTTTGGGGTGATGGAAATGTTCTAAAATTAGACCGTAGTTGTAGTTGTACTGTATACTTACTAAAAATCATAGAATTGTAAACTTAATGAGTAGGTTTTATGGTATGTAAATTATACTTCAATAAAGCTGTTACAAAAAAACGAAGGCCACAAAGATTTCTCCGATGTCACCCCCACCTTCTCGCTGCAGAGACTCCTCAAATTCTTCCAGGCAAGAATCACTAGAGGCTTCTTTCCAGCTGTCCTCCTTGCTTAGCTGAGACCCTTGCTCCCCCAATCAACACTGAGAATGCAATAGGAGACAGGGTCGTGGTGAGCAGCATCATATTTAGGAGCCAGCAAGACCTGGGTTTGAATCCTGGAGTACCCCATATGATCACTTGGGCAAAATGTTCACCCTTCTGAATTTTAGTTTTCTCATTAGTGCAATGGGGGAAACACTCTTTCTGGTTTTTGTGAGGATGAAAGGAGACAATGCATGTCAAACAACTGTCACCAGGCCACCAGACTTAGTGGAAAGTCAGTGCCCATGAGCCGGGTCCTGTGGTTACTTCCGCAGCCTGCAGGAAGGGAGGCTTCTCTGGGCTTCCAGCCTTCAGTGATGTGTAGCTCTCTCAGCTACAGTGCGGGCCTTGTCATGTCTCCTCGGAACTTGAAACAGCTTCCTTACTAACCTTCCCTCTCTTGCCTGTACTGTGGCAATTATCTTCAACTTGGGCTGTCAAAGAGGTGTTTCCAGGTAAAAAATCCCTGACCATGTCATCATGGTCCTCTCTAAGGGATCTGATCCCCCACTGCCTACAGGGTGGATTCCAAGGCCCTGAACATCACCTCCCTCTCTGCCTCCCCTTCCGTCCCATACATTTACAGCCGCGGCTGTCTCCTGCCCACCCTCCCGACCTTCCCCTGCGGAAACTGGCTTTCTCTTCTCAGCTCTTCTCCCCACCTAACAAGCCCTTGAGCACTTTGCCTGACTAAGTCTCAATTTTGTCCTATGTGAGGTTGGGAGTTTCTGATTCTCACTTCTCAGGATTGTTCTGACAATAATAATAATGATAGAAATAAGATCGTGACAATAATAAGAATTGAAAAAGACAACAGTAGCTAATAATTATTCAGAACCTAATACGTGTCAAGTACTTTGCTAAGCAATTTACAGGTGTCCCATTTAATTAATTTAGATAGAGTTATGATTTGTATTTTCCCATAGGTGACTGAGAAAATTTACCTTACTCAAGGTCAACAGGTAGCAAGAGTCAGGGACAACACTCAAATCCAAGCCTACATGAAACCAAAATTCATCCTTCAAGCTTGGTATGCAGTAGGTGTTCAATGAAATCTTTTCTTTCTTTGTCTCCCTTCACAGTCTCTTGTCTCAGTCTGTCTGAGGTCGGCCTTTAAGGTTTGGCTGGAGGGGCGTAGCCCACATATTCCCTCTGCACTCTGGAATACTTGGGTTCCTCCCCACTAGATCACTTCTCATAGCCTTACTCAATGTACAAATTATTTATTGTCCATAATTATCTATTAAAATAATATTTATTATTCATTAAGTCTACAAATATTAAATATTATTTAATATTTCATGCCAGGTATGTCACGGATTCCTAGCTCTCCCCCAGTGTCTGTTCTTCCCTTCCTCTTAGTAAGACAACCCCTGAGTTTTAGCTAGCCATGATGGCTCAGAATAAGGAAAACATTTCCAGCCTCCCCTGCAGCTAGGCGTGACGGTGTCAATGAGCTCTGGCCAACAGACAGGAGTGGAGGGAAGTGTGCGACTTCTGAGTGGTGTCCTTAAACGGAAGAGTGTGGCGCTTCCTTTCCTTCTCTTCCCTTGTCCCTGATGGCTGGACAGGGACTTGACAGTGGGAACTAGAGCAGCTCTTGATTCACCACGTGAAGCTACCATTGAGGGGGACGGAGCATAAAGCCACAAGGAACCAAGCTGCCTGCTGAATCATGAAGCTGCTATACTTAACTGTGTACCCAGATTATACACAAAAAAGAAATCAATGTTGGTCTTTTGGAATCATTACTGTTGGGGTGGATATCTGTTAAAATACGCTGAATTAATATCTTAATACACCAGGTGATGTTATGAGAACTGGAGTTATAAGCCAAGTTTCTGACATTCTAAATGGAGAGACAAACATGTAAAATAAATTCAGAAAGAACAGATGGATGTATGAGCATCACAAAACAAATTTATTACGATCTAGAGTGACTGTGGTTGGAGTTTCATTATCTAGGGTGACCAGGGAAACCTCTCCAAGGAGGTGACATTTGAGGTGAGCTAGAAGCATGAGCGGGAGTCATCCATGGAAAGATTGAAGAAAGGGCTTTACATGGAGAACAAATGACAGCTGCTAAGGCCCTGAAGTAGGAATAAGATTGGCAAGTTCAAGGTTCAGAAAGACATCCACATGTGTATCCTTCCGTCAGAGAGCTGAGAATAAGTAATTCTTAAATTAAATATTTCTTGATATGTATTTATGTGTTAATAGATTTCTTTGTGGGTCTCAGGAGGCCAAATGGCTTTAACTGGCCTGCGTCCTCACTGGCATGGATGCTGGCCAGTTTCCCACACTCTCTTCTTGTGCTCTGCTGAGACATCTGCTACATACTGTCCTTCAGCCTAGCTGACCTCATCGAAATCCCCTCCTGTTCTAATTCGCTGCCCACGGCCCTGCCGATAAAAGGGAGGCTCATCCCTGCTGCAGGGAACTCTGTTTCCATCCCCTGCAGCTCAGCCGCCTCCTTCTCTCGGGTCCTGCCAGCCATGAAGCTTCTTTTCCTGTTGCTTGCCCTCCTCCTGGCCACAGAACCAGTGGCATCAGGTAACTTGGGCCTCTCTCAGGGGTCTGGGGTCCTGGTCGTGGGCTTCTCCTCTTTCCCTCCCCTCTCCCTGTGGGTAGCAGCTGAAGCCTTTCTTCCTTTCACACAGCTTTGGGAGGTTTTCCCAGCACCATCTCATGTTAACATTTCTCCTCCATTCTCTTTTGCCGAGGTGGTGGGATGATAGATGTTTGGAGCATCTGGTACTTGGGGGCTGGAGTGACATTCTGGTGGGAGCTTGGGAGAGGGCTTAGGGGTGCAGGATTGGGTGTGGGTTGGGGACTTGAGGATTTTGAGAGATTAGGTTGAAGGCTGGGTGGGGTCCAGTTAGGAAGGGGGAGAAAAGCCTTGGGTTGGAGGGATAGGGGGAACATTACGATGATGTGGAGGTGAGGACATGGGCTTCCCTGAAGGCTTGGGGTGGAGTTGGCGAGAGAATGGGATTTTGAGCTGAGTGGAGCTAGGGGTGGGGATTAGGCTGTGAGTTAGTGCAGCTTGGTGATAGGTTCCTGGTGGGAACTGAGGTTGGTAACTAGATCAGATTGGGGTTTGGTTTGGAGTTGGGGCTTGGGGGCAAAGGCTAGGAGTTCTAACTTAGGTTGGACTGGGTTTTGAGTTTGAATTGGGTGAATATGGGGTCAAGGAGGATTGGAGAGTGGGTTGGGTTGTGGCTAGAGCTGAGGCTTGCTGGGCTTAAGTTAGACAGGGCCAGGCTGTGAAAAGGAGCTGGGTCTGTTGTAGTGCGAGTGAATCCCCTCGGTTCCCTAACATTACAGGTGTTCATCGTCCTTTTCCTGTCATTCCCAAGCTTTGCTAGGAGGGTCATTCATTAACGTCAGTTGATCCCGAAGTGAGGAGTAGGAAGTCGGGGGATGGGAAGACAGAAGGGTGGGAAGTCTGAAAAAGGCTCTCCTGAAAACTCCAGGGTTCCCAGCTGGAACAATTGTCTCAGTTCTCTCCCCTTTTAAGGTCTCTTCTCTCCTTTCCCAGGACTGGGTCCAGCATTACCTACTCAACTTGCTTTCTTCCCTTCTTCCCTATCCTCCTGCTCCTCCTCCACCTCCTCTTCTCCCTCCACTTGAGGAATACTAGCATCTGCTTAATGGCTGTTCCTATGCCCCCAAGGAGAATGTTGGATGGATGGACACTGCCGGTTGGTGTGCAAAAATGATGAAGACAGCATCTCACGCTGCCGAAATCGTAAACGGTGCTGTGTCCCTAGTCGTTATTTAACAATCCAACCAGTAACAGTTGATGGAATCCTTGGCTGGACCACTGCTCAGACGCCCACTCCAGCCACAACTAAGAAGACAAACTAGAAATCATGTATAGAAATGACTTCGTTTCAGGTTCCTTAGTGTCCACATCCCATTAAACTCACAAATTTGTTTCTTGTGTCTGTCGATCATAAGGAATGATACCCCAAATGGATTGAGGGTGGGGAGATGGCAGGGTGGGGCGTAAAGCATAGTGGAGAGAAGTCCCTAGGGCTGGGTTGCAGCAGTGGGGTGATGACTATAGTCTTGGAGGTGGGTCCCCATTGACCAGCCCAGGAGAAGCTATTGAGTCAGAAGTGGACTGAGGAAAGCATGGTGGGGCCTGAGAGATTTAAAGGCACAGCAGATGCATAGAGAGGGGGAGAATCCTTGGGCTAGGAGAGTTGGTCCATCTAGGGAGTGAAGGGGCTGGGGACGGATGGAGCCGAGTAGAGCCCAAATCCTTGGGTTCCTGGGGAAATCAGGTGACATGCTTTCTGATGGTCAAGAGCCCACAGCCCCAGGGGTCAGAAGATTTATAAGAACTAAAAAAAAGATAAAACATATGAATTTACTCATTTATATATAAATTTGTTCATTATTCATTTTTTACATTCTTTCATTGATTTACGTATTCATCTTTTCACCTCAGCTCTGCCACTTGCCACTGGCAGACTCTGCCTATAAACCTCTCAGAAATTCATCTTCCGGCTGGGCGCAGTGGCTCGTGCGTGTAATCCTAGCACTCTGGGAGGCTGAGGCAGGAGGATCTCTTGAGCCCAGGAGTTCGAGACCAGCCTGAGCAAGAGCGAGACCCCGTCTCTACTAAAAATAGAAAAATTAGCTGGGCGTGGTGGCACGTGCCTGTAGTCGCAGCTACTCGGGAGGCTGAGGCAGGAGGATCTCTTGAGCCCAGGAGTTCGAGGTTGCTGTGAGCTAGGCTGACATCATGGCACTCTAGCCCAGGCAACAGAGTGAGACTTTGTCTCAAAAAAAAAGAAAAAGAAAAAAAAGAAATTCATCTTCCCCATCTGTCAGATTAGGATAATGGTAGCATCTGTCTCAGGATCATCATGGTAAGAATGAAATGAGATAATGCAGAGCGTAGTGCCCAGCACATAGCAAGCCCTCAATAAATGTCAACTGCTGCTGTTGTTCAAGGATTTATTCACGTGTTTACGGAATATGTGCTGTGTGCTTTCTACTGTGTTAGACTCTGAGGGAGACAGAAGCCTGTCTCATTCCAAGCGATAATTTCCCCAGGGAGAAGACCAGCTCACGGGGAACATGTCGGAATCCTGACTAGAATCCAGAGGACCCGGTGTCTTCCCAGGCTTTGTTATCTCAAGTCCTATTCTCGGGGCCTCATTTATCCAACACAGTTGTTCACCCCTGAACTGTGTTCCTGCAGTGAGGTCGGGGACCCAGAGTGTTTTGTAAAGCATGGTGCATGACATAGAGACAGACAGAAGGGGTTCACTCTGATCCAGGAAGACAATTTGCTCTCAATTCAATATTTCTGTTCTCAGACTCTGGAAAGAAAAGCACGCTCTTCTGATTGTGGTCCTATTCTGGGCTTCCTCTGGCTCAGTCCCTCCTTACGTGGTGAGGAGTGGCTGGGGGCAAGGGGAACATACCCACCTGGAACCTCTGCCTGCCCTGCCCCTTCCCGGCCTGTGCTTTGATTAGCTGGCTCCTGGGATTGCCTGCCTAGGGAAACCTTGTGTCTGCTTCCAGGAACTGCATGGGCCTTTCCCCAAGGCCCACCCTGGAAGGTGGGGCCCGCTTGGGTGTGCACCCCTAGGCAGGAGAATTGCCAGGGGAGGCTCCTGTTTGCAGGGGCTGTGGGCAGAGCAGGGGATGGGTGAGAAGGGAGGGGAACTGTGGGCTGGGCTGGCTCCCCTCGGGCTGCCGTGTTCCTGCGCAGAGCTCTGTCCTTTCCATCAATCCCCCAGACACACACATATTAGATGGAAATCCTTAGGGGCTGAGAATCTCTTATATAAACATCTGTGTGCCTGGTGTTAAGCCCGGTGCTTGGTACGGATGGAATTTTGTGAGCGTTTCTTGATTGAGGAATAGGTGCATGACGAATTCAAGAGTGAAGGCATGAATGGATGTGGTGGGGGCACACATAGCTGATTCCAGGTTCCAGAAATCTGGGTGGGATCCTTCTGGGCTGAGGGCGTGGAGGACCACTGCAGCAGGTATACTTGGCGTGTCAGAAAGGATGCAGAGGTGTTCCTGGGTCTTGCTCACGTAGGTGCTTATTATTCCTCAGTTAGTTTGTTCTGAAAACACACAGGCTTCACAGTGTTGGAGGTGGTCTGGGAGGGTCTAAGGATCCCCCAATACTTGGGGTTTGGCATTAACCTCTCCACACACAGCCATTCATGTCCCGATTTGAAATTCATTCATTACGAATCATTATCTATTTACTCAGTCAATAACATTTATTAAGAACAGGCCAGGCACGGTGGGTCACGCTTATAATCCCAGCACTCTGGGAGACCAAGGCGGGTGAATCGCTCAAGGTCAGGAGTTCGAGACCAGCCTGAACAAGAGCGAGACCTCGTCTCTACTAAAAATAGAAAGAAATGATCTGGACAACTAAAAATATAGAAAAAATTAGCCGGGCATGGTGGCGCATGCCTGTAGTCCCAGCTACTCCGGAGGCTGAGGCAGTAGGATCGCTTGAGCCAGGAGTTTGAGGTTGCTGTGAGCTAGGCTGACGCCACGGCACTCTAGCCAGGGCAACAGAGCAAGACTCTGTCTCAAAAAAAAAAAAAAAAAAAAAAAGAACACTGGGCACATGGAGACAACCTGGGGGAAGATAGAAAGCTGGAGTGAGGAAAAGGTTCAGATCTCAACATTGAGCCACGGAGAGTTTTCAGAAGACATTTAAGTCTGCATCTGAATCTCTGGACTTGGAGTTTGGGAATGTGAAATTTTGAAAACTCCTTATTCCTTTGGGAGATAAGGTGCCCAATTCCCCTACCACACTTCCTTCCTTCCTTCATTTTTAAACATTTTTTTGAGACAGGGTCTTGCTCTGTAGCCCAGGCTGAAGTGCAGTGGTGTCATCATAGCTCATTGCAACCTTGAACTGCTGGGCTCGAGAGATCCTCCTGCCTCAGCCTCCTAAGTAGCTGGGACTATAGGCACGTACCACCACACCTGGCTAATTGTTATTTGCTTTGTAGAGACAGGGTCTCTCTATGTTGCCCAGGCTGATCTCAAACTCCCGGCCTCAAGCGATCCTCCTGCCTCGGCCTGTCAGGGTGCTGGGGTTACAGGCATGAGCCATCGCACCTGGCCCCACTTCCTTCATTGTTAACCATTGTCAAACTGTGAGACTCTCAGGCAGCCTCTCCCTGTCTTCCCATTTCACAGATGGGGAAATTGAGGCTCAAAGGGGAAAAGTGACCTATGTTTATAAGTAGGTTCGAGACAATGCTGGGATTAATATGCAGGACTTCTCTGACTTGTGGTGAGAGGGCTGAGTGAATGTGGAAGATGATAATAAGTAGATGTGGGTGCTACGTGCGTGCAGGTGCAGAGTGACATGGAGCCAACAAACGAGGAGGTGTTAGGAGCTACAAAGCACCTGAAAAAGCTTTGGTAGTTAGTTTGGGCACCTCTGAAACCCCTTTCTGGGGCTGCTGTGGCCTCTCTCCAAGGGGAAAGTATGAAGCAGGCTGATGTGCCTGCCCCACCCTCTCGAATGTACAGTTCTGCCCACTCTTCTTTGGGATGCAACTTGGCTCTCCTCCTCAAGGAAGATGGAAAAGGCCTTATCTTCCAAGGATGTGACAGGGCGTGGTTTTTGGTCTAGTAAGCTTCTTTGAATCTCTTGGATCTGACAGTGGATCTGGATATGGGCTCGGAGTCACACTGAGTGCTGTCTGAGTCCTTGCTCGGCCTCTAATACTTATGAGGCCTTTACCAGAACACTGCTTCTCTCTGAGCCTCAGTGTCATAGTGCAAGAAAAGGAAATAAAGACATCTACTTCAGATGGTCCTAGGAAAGGTTCCAGTTAACATTTATCAGGTGGCTCATAGTGGATACTCAGCAAATGGTAATGGTCATTATTTTTATTTTATTTTTTCAGTCAAAGGATCATTTTTATTTTGGAGACCTTGATTCCAAGGGGAAATCATTATAATGCAAATGGCTAGCATTTCTTGAATGCTTATTATGGACTGGGGACCATGTCTCCAGTTCCTATGTGTGAACAGCCTCCAAAAAAACAAAAACACCTCTGGCTATCACTAAAGGACTTCTGTCTGCCTAATTTCATGGGAATATTCTCAAGCTGTGTTCATAGGTGTAGCCCAGGCAGAAATGAATCCTTCAGCAAAGAAACTTTATGTGATAATAAAAACAACAACAGTAATAGTTAACATTTATTTAGTTCTTACTATGTGCCAGTCCCCAATTGCTTTCCATTTATTAAGCCATTAACCCTCACAACTCTAGGCATTAGGTATTATTGCAGCCTACACTGCACAGATGGAAAAGGGGAGAAGAGAGAGGTACAGAAACTTGCCCAAGGCTACACAGCAAGTAAAATGGGAGCCAGGATTGGAATCTACGGTTTCTTGATTTTCGATTCTGTTCTTTTAATCTGTCTATAGCCCCTTAGGTTATTTTGTTTATTTATATTTTAACTTTTTATTTTGAAGTAATTATAGATTCACAAGAAGTTGCTAGAAAGAGGTCTCGTGTACCCTTCATCCAGTTTCCCCCAATGGTTATATATATTTTACGTAACCATAGTATGATATAAAAACCAGGAAACTGATATTGGTACAATATATAGGTATACTTATTTAAAAATTCTTTCTATTTATAATATTTATTACTTTAGTGTTTTACAAAATGTATGACACAAACATATGTGTATACGTCTGTGCCATTTTTTCACAAGTGAAGATTTATGTTACCACCACCATGATCAAGACACAGAGCTGTTCCATCACCACAAAGATCTCCCTCCTGGTACTCCTTTAAAGTCATACCAGCTCTCCTCCCTGCCCACACCCTCTGTCACTGTGCCTAATCCCTGGCAACCACTAATCTGTTTTCTCATCTCTATAATTTTGTCATTTTAAGAGTGTCGTATAAATGG